CTTATTTAATTCAAGATATGTTCTCTTTTTCATTGTTTTGAAATAGTTGAAAAATATTTACTAGTTCTCAAAAATACTATTCCAAATTACACTTTGAACATCTGGGAATTTTTACTGCTTTTTTTTTTTTCTGCTGATACCACATAATCTTTATGAATTTCGCCCTGTTGAACTATATTGAGGTTTTTAAAATATTTTTGCATTGCATTATTTAATACATATGTCAAGTATTTCACGTGTACTTTAAATTTTAATAGTTCTTGTTTTGGGACAGCACCTAGTGATGCTTAGGGCGTACTGCTGCTCTTAACTCAGAATTACTCCTGGTGAGCGTGGGGGACCATGGGGTGCCAGGGATCAAGCTCAAGTCGGACAGGTGCAAGGCAATGACCTACCTCTTTACTGTCGCCCCAGTCCTCATGTTTATTTTAACTGAAGCTTTCATAGTATTCTGCACTATTTTATCAAGTGTTCATTAGACCATGTTTCCTCACCATCTAATTCAAATATTCTACAACTTCACTGATTTGTTTATCTTTACTGAGTAATTTCAGAATATTCCATTATGCTTATGATCTGTTTACTTCACTATGTTTTTTTCTTTGGCTTTTTGGGTCACACCCGGCTATGCTCAGGGGTTACTTCTGGCTTTGCACTCAGTAGTTACTCCTGGTGGTGCTCAGGGGACCATATGGAATGCTGGGAATCGAACCCAGGTTGGCTGCATGCAAGGCAAACGCCCTACCTGCTGTACTATTGCTCCAGTCCCTACTTCACTATTTGTTTCTTTAACTATTTAAACTATTCTGACTGAATTAATTTTTTTAAGAGCATCAACTGAAATTGTGTCTTTTAAAATGAGGAATGTTTTGCCTCCGTCTTCATTATCTGATATTAGTAAAAGTAGCTGTAACTGCTTTCTGTTTTTGGCTTTTGTTTACATGCCACCACATAATGCTTGCACTGTTTTTTTGTTTTTGTTTTTTCAGTAGTACACATATCCCTGAAGCAGCACATAAAGGTTGTGTACCACCTATTCTTGCAGAAAAATATTGGCATGAAATATGCAATGATTATGCAGTGGAATGCAGTGTTATTTTTTAAAACTTTTTCCTAAAATTTATTTTAGTATTTTTTGCTCGAGCGGGCCAGTAACATCTCCATTGGAGACTTTGTTGTTACTGTGTCTGGCATATCGAATACTCTCGGTAGCTTGCCGGGCTCTCCGAGAGGGGCGGAGGAATCGAACTCGGGTCGGCCATATTGGCCGCTTGTAAGGCGAACGCCCTACCCGCTGTGCTATCGCTCCAGCCCATATTTTGTGTTTCTGAACATCTTTTTCTTTTAATTAGTACAATCAATTAGAGCATTTCCATGTGATGCATTCTGTAATATGTTTGGATTAAAATCTGTCTATTTGCTTTTGGTTTCATCCCGTATTTTCTGTTGATTTTTCTCATTTGTATTTATTTTTGATAGCCTCTCTAGTTCTATTGTATCTATTTTTTAATATTTTTATTTTTCTAAAGTTCACAATAATTTGTTACATTTAATATTCCAGCACCAATCCCACAATCATTACACCTACCCACCACCATATTTCGAATGTTTCCACCCAACCCCAAACCCTGCCCCCAAAGCAGGATCTAAATAATTTATTTTGTATTGCTTGTTGTGAGTAATCCACTAAAAATAATCTACAAAATTTTCTTTAGAGGAAAGTGAAGATTGTTGTATTTCACCCTTGAGCTATTAAGCCCTTACGTAAGAGATTACTAACATGTTCTTATGCGTTGCATACAGATGTGGTGTACTGCTCTTGGTACATCAGTGGTGTAGAGTATGAGGTGTTGCTCTAGGATATTCTAAAATTTTAAATACAGCTAGAGTTGATAGAGCTAGAGTTAAGTTTTTAACTGGATAGTCACTTTGGGGTCCAGAGGCATTATTTTTCTTTGTTGCTCTCTTCCAAGAGATTTGTTTGTGAGTCTCTGGATCATGGCCATTAATGAGCTTACATGCCACTCGAGGCAGTTTCTGATGTGACTGCCAGAATACCAGAAACACAGGGAGATGGGAGGTGGTTACCCATTCCGCATTCCATTTGAGCCTGGAGATTTCAGTCACAAGTCCCACATACCTGGACCTTTCAACAGATTCACTCATGGATGAGGCTCGTCCTGGCCCATGGAGAGCGATAGGTCAGGAGCATAGCAGCAATTGAGTTCTGATGGTTTTCAGCTGCTGCTGCTCTGTTAGAGCGGGGAGGCCCACCCCCTTGTGTGTTGCCTTGGATAAGACAGCCTGGTACGGGGTCCAGAGGTATCTCTATCTGATTATATTATATCTTAACTGATTGGTTGTGGCACACATTTTTTTCATAATTTTCTAGTTTTTACTCCAAACTTCCTTGATTTATCAAAATCCATTAGAGATTGGTACCTTGATTTCCTTTGTGTGACATAAGAACCTAGAATATTGTTACAGCACTGAGCCTGTTCTGACTCATATACATTTTTATATCTTTGTATTCTTTTATTTGATCATAATACAATGATCTCTTTTTATTTGATGTTGGTATAGTTATGTTTTTCTGTATATTGCTCTTTTGTTGGTTTTAATGTTTGCCTTTATCACAGTCTGTAACATTTTTCTGTGACTAAAACCACTCTTTTTTTGTTTTTTTTTTCCTGCTTTTTGAGTCACACCTGGCGATGCACAGGGGTTACTCCTGGTTCTGCACTCAGGAATTACCCCTGGCGGTGCTCAGGGGACCGTATGGGATGCTGGGAATCGAACCCGGGTCAGCCGTGTGCAAGGCAAACGCCCTACCTGCTGTGCTATCATTCCAGCTCCTGAAACCACTCTTTATACATATTTTTATATACTTTTTATTTATTTCTTTCAGTGTGTTTCTTAAGTATCAAAAAAGATCTTCACCTTAATTCTTTTTCTTTTTCTGTGGGGGTAGGGCAGTTGAGTGCTCTGCGTTCAATGATCACCCCTAGCAGTGTTAGGGACATGGTGCCAGGGATTGAACCAGGATACACCATGTGCATAGCAAGCACTTCACTGCCTGGGCTGTCCTTGAGTTCCCGACCATATATTCTTCCTTTGTTATTTTTAGCTAGGCATAAGACTAGGTTGCATTTTTTTTAAATTTTTTATTTCTTTAACATCATGTAAGTATCCTGCTGTTCAGGATTTTCCTTTATGTTTATTTATTTGCCACAGCATAAGTTATTTGCCTAATTGTTGCTTTAAAAGGTAGTTAATTGTACAGATTACCTTCCAGCCCTTCTTTTCTGGCTGCTTTAAAGCTTGAGTTTTTGTTTTTAATCCCAAGTGTTGCCATTTATCTACGCACTCAGAGACTTAATAATTTTCTTTTTTGGTTTTGATGTTCCTAATGGATCCTGGAACCTAAGACTTGCTTTCCAAAATAAGTTATTAATATTTTTATACCACCTATTCAAATAGTTCTGCACCATTAATATTCTTCTAATCTTTAAGATTCAGATTATAGTTATCTGTATCCATATTACATTTTTTAGTATAATTATACATTTTATTTCTCTGAAGTAATGACCAAAGTTTTTCCCTTATACAGATGCTTTGAATATTCATTCTCTATTCCCCAAACAATTCTGATTATATATATTTTGGCTACACTCAAATTTTTGCACAATTTTAATCATTTAAAAACGTTAACTGGTCCAAGTGTATGTAGGTGCCAAACAACTGACGATTGAAATTTTTTTTTGTTTTTTTTTTTTTGCTTTTTGGGTCACACCCATCACACCCAGCGATGCACAGGGGTTACTCCTGGCTCTGCACTCAGGAATCACCCCTGGCGGTGCTCAGGGGACCATATGGGATGCTGGGAATCGAACCCGGGTTGGCTGCATGCAAAGCAAACGCCCTACCCGCAGTGCTATTGCTCCAGCCCCAACGATTGAAATTTGAACTGAAGTTCAATTTATTAATTTTTTGTTCTTCATTATGTAAGTTTATATTTTCTTAGTATCTGTATTTCTCAGTTGAGATTTGTAGAGTAATTTACTCAAAATTATGTGCATAATAATAAGTAATCTTAGCAGGGGCTGGAGCAATAGCACAGCGGTAGGGCGTTTGCCTTGCGCGTGGCAGGCCCAGCCAAGCCAGTTTCGATTCCTCTGCCCCTCTTGGAGAGCCCAGCAAGCTACTGAGAGTATCTCACCAGCTCAGCAAATCCTGGCAAGCTACCGTGGCATATTTGATATGCCAAACACAGTAACAACAAATCTCACAATGGAGACGTTACTGGGCCCGCTTGAGCAAATCGATGAACAATGGGAGGACAGTGCAGTGCTACAGTCCATATTAAAAAAAATATTTTTTATTCCAGTTGTATACTGGATAAAAATAATCGCACAACTTTATAAGCCAAATACTACCCAGTTAAGGAATTTAATTTGTTAAAAATATGTAGGTTGTACTAGTAAAGAATACGAAGCAATACCTTCCATGGATCAAAACATAAAATGGTAATAACTGATGTAATTGAAAAAGATTTCAATGATTTGGTAGACTTTTATCATCACAAAAATGTCAATGTGACTGGGCCAAAGAGTTAGTACAGTGGATGGGTTACTTTCCTTGCATGTGAGCATTCCTTGTTCAATTCCTACCACCCCATGTGGTCTCCTGAGCCGAGAGCCAGTAGTAACCCCTGAGCACTGCCAGGTGTAGCCCCAAAATAAAAAATAAAATTTACATGAAATAATTCACATATATATGTCAATGTCAGAAAATTTTTAAACTGCATTCAAGGGTAACACACAAATATAATCCTTTTGTTACAAATTAAAATAACAAATGATAGTGTAATGTTTCCTCCATGACAAATTAATTTAGACATTTTAATTATTACTATTTTGTAGTTTAATGTAAGCAATTTAAGTTTGCCCATCATGAAATATCACACAGAGCAACATTGAAGATGTTTCCTTTTTACCCAGGTCATTTCATTTTTGGCTGCAGTTTTGCATAAAAAAGGAACTCGTGAAGATATTGAAAATAACATGCCAGAGTTTTTACTACGAAGTATGAAAAAGGAACCCTCTTCTACAGCAAAGAAGGTAGGATATTTGGAACTATACCAAGTATTAAATGAATTTCGAAAAGTATATAGAAATCTTTAGCCATAAAAGTAAAAAATGTAGTAAAAGAAGAATTTAAAGATACTACTAAAGTATTTGTTTAATTGTCCTAAGTTTTTTTTTTATTTTGTTCTTGGGCCAGACCTGGCTGTGTTCACTACTGGCTCTGGCCGGGTTAATCCTGGCAGTGGGTGCTTGAGGGAACATATGTGGTATGAGGGACCAGCCATGTACAAGGCAGGTCTAATTTTTGAGTTAAAAAGTGATTGAGATAAAATTAACAAATATACCATTTTAACTCATTTAAAGTGTGTGACTCAGTCCAACTGACTATATTCATGAAGTGTGACATCCCTAGTACCTAAAACTGTTAGCTTCATCCTTGTAACCCTCTCCTTATCCTTTGCTCTATTTCTGTTTCTGTTTCATTCACTACAGATTTTATGGGCATAATTTTCAGAAGATTTTTAATTTCATTAAGTTCATTGAAGCTTATATTTTTATATAAAATTGGGACAGTTGCAGATATTTACATAAGATGCATCATTAATATTTGAAGTTGTTTAGCAAACTAATACATCCCAAAATATGAATTAAATTCTATTGTTCCTTAGAAGGAACATTGATTTTGTAAGCTGAACTTTTAATGCTGTTTGTATGTATTTATATTTGTCATTCTTCTTAGTGGCTTTTAATGCTATTTGTGTATATATATATGTACATATATATTATATGTAGTTTTTTTGTAAATGTTTATAAATATCATATACCTATCTTTACAAAAGAAAAAAAGAGAGTAACTTTTTACAAGTTTTAAAAGGAGTCATTTGCCTGGTCCCAGGAAACTGAGCATGGCCATTGGTATCAGGGGTCGTACTTTTCTCCAGGATTGTCATTTTGCCCACCAAGTCAGGAATCTCCCATCCTCTCAAAGAGGATGACCACTCAGCTACTCTCCAGGCTGCACATTTCTTTGCTTCTTTATAACTCATGGTAAACATACAAAGACATCCTGACTGTAGCCACCGAACCATTCAACAGCATACAAGATACAACACCAGACTATAAAGGTCACCATGGGAAAGCAACACAGAACTCACCAAATATAGTGAGTGAAGATGCTATCCCAGAAGTCTCTACAAGTAATAGTGAGCTATATAACATCTCTGATAAGGAATGTAAACAGAAATTGTTGAGGATGTATAAGTAGTTCAAAAACACAGTGAAATAGATTTCCAGTAAAACACAAGAGGGTATGAGAGCAGAAATGAGGAAAATGACAGAGCTGAGAAACAGCAAAAGATGGAAAAGATACCTCAAAATAAACCAACGGGTGACAAAAGAACATGGGGATGAATGCAGGAGGAACAGCATGAGAATCATTGGTGTCACAGAGGGCAGGAAGACAACTCTGATAAAGAAGCAACAGTCAAAGTCATCATTGCTGAGAAGTTTCCAGAGCTGAAGAGTGCAGATCCAGGAGGTCTGAAGGGTACCAGCTAAAAAGAATTCAAATAAAATTATTCCCGAGACACATCCCAACCAGAAAGATGAGAACCATAGATAGAGACAGAAAGCTGAAAACAGCAAGATCAAAGAAGAAAATTATATATAAAGTAGCATCATTAAGTTATGCAGCATACTAATCAAATGAATCCCTCTGGGCCTGAAAACAGTGGTGGGATATAGTGAACAAACTTAATGAAGTGAATCCTTCTTAAAGAATACTTAACTCAGCTAGACTATCATTCAGATTTGAAGGAACAATACACACTTCACAGAGAAACAACTCATACACTTCATAGGTTCAGAACCATTGTTATACAAAGAATTTAACAGGCTACTTTAAGACAAGACAAGCCCCAAAAGCATGCCAAACTCTTGACAAAAAGATGGCAAAAAAACTTAATAATCTCAAAGTTAATGGACTAACTGCACCAATTAAGAGACACAGAGTGGCAGAATAGATTTGACAATTGAACCCAACATTCTTTTGCATGCAAGGAACACATATGAACAGTTAGAGCAAATGCAATCTCAAAGTCAAAGGTTGGAAGACAATTCTTCAAGGTAAAACCTCCTCAGAAAATGACAAACTTCAGAATGAAGATTATAAGATACAGTGAAGGTCATTTCTTAATGATCAGCATCATTTCTTAATCATCAGTGGATCTGTATATCAAGGGGAACTCAAGCTCATAGACATATATGCACCTAATGACCTAATGAGGGACAAGCAAAATACTTAAAACAACTGCTATTAGACTTGAGGAAAGACAACACAACTGTTGTGATAACAACACAATAGTAGTTTGAGATTTCAACACTGCTTTGTCACCTCTTTAGATCCACTAGACTAAAGCTCAGCAAGAAAATACTTTGAGGGAAGAAGTGGAAGAGAGGGGGTTAGTATACATAAATGCATACAGACGTACGTACATATGTACGTTATGTATATATACTATATATTATGTATATCTATATATCACTGTAGCACTGTCCTCCCATTGTTCATCGATTTGCTTGAGCGGGCCCAATAACATTGTGAGACTTGTTACTGTGTTTGGCATAACAAATACGTCACGGGTAGCTTGCCAGGCTTTGCCATGCGGGAGAGATACTCTTGGTAGCTTGCCGGGCTCTAGAGAGGGACGGAGGAATCGAACTCGGGTCGGCCATGTCAGCAGCGTGCAAGGCAAATGCCCTACCTGCTATGCTATCGCTCCAGCTCATCTATTTATATCTATATATAAATAAATATACATATATATATGTGACCTTGTATTCTCGAAAGTCTGAATGCATTCTTCTCCACTGCACATAGGACATTCTCCAAGATAGGCCACATGCTGGGACACAAAGCATACCTCTACTAAGAGCATAGATCATTATCAACTATTTTCTCAGATCATGATGCACTAAGAGTAGAAGTTAATCACAAACAGAAATGGAGGAGCAACTCAGACACCTGGAAATTAAATAACTTGTTACTGAACAACCAGTGGTTCAGAGAGGAAGTCAAAAAGGAACTTAAAAGATTAATGGAAACAAATTAAAAGGAAGACACTACCTACCAGAATTTGTGAGATGCGCAATGGATAACGCGTCTGACAGCAAAAACAGTGTTAAAAGTTTATTCTATGCAAGTATTCATGAAAAAGGAAGAAAGCGCCCACATAAGTAATTTGATTGTACAACTCAAGAAACTGGAAAATGGCCAACAAAAGAAACCCTAACCAGCCAGGAGGCAGAAAATAAAAAAACTTAGAGCAGAAATTGATGATCTCGAATCCCTAGAAAGCAATCTGAAAGATTAATGAAACCAAGAGCTGCTTCTTTGAAAAAATAAACAAGATAAATAAACCAGTAGCAAGACTCAGAGTAAGAGACAGACAAAACCCTTAGAAACCGAATTAGAAATGAAATAGGGGACATCACAACATACACCATAGAAATTCAAAGAATCATCAAAGATTACTTTAGAGTCTTTATGCCATGGAACGAGAGAACCCTGAAGAAATGTGTGAATTCCTAGATTCCTATATCCTCCCAAGACTGATCCAAGATGATTTTGGAATACCTGAACAAATTGTCACTATCAAGGAAATTGGAATGATAATCAAAAGCCTTCCCCCCAACAAAAATCCCAGACATAGATAATTCACTAGTGAGTTGCTTCAAACCTTTAAAGAGGACGTTCTGCTAGTCATTTCAGGCTCATAAAGGAAATTAAGCAAACAAAAATATTCCCTAACAGTTTCTATGAAATAATCATTGCCCTACTATTAAAAGCAGACAAAAACAAAAACAGAGAATCACTAGCCAATATCCTTGGTGAGCACAGATGCAAAGATCCTCAACAAAATCATAAGCAAATAAAATCCAATAGATCATCAAAAAGATCATACTCCACGACCAGTAAAATCCTGGAAATGCAAGATGGTTTAACATATACAAGTCAATCAACATAATGCATGATATAAATAAAAGAAAAAATAGAAACTATATGCTTGTATCAATAGATGCAAAGAAAGTATTTGATAAGCTCCAGCACCCATTCATAACTAAAACTCAACAAAATGTGAATTGAGGAACTTTCCTCAGTATAGTCACGGCCGTCTGCCACATTCCACAACAAACACTATAATCAGTGGGCAAAAACTAAAAGACTTCCCTCTAAGATAAGGCACAGAACAACATTTCTAGTGTTGCCACTTCTATTCAGTATAGTTCTGGAAGTACTTGCTATAGCAGTTAGGCAAGGAAAAGATATCAAGGACATTCAGATAAGAAAGGAAGAAGTCAAGCTCTGACAATTTGTAGATGACATGATACTATACTTAGAAATCCTAAAGACACTTCAGAAAGCTCCTGAAAACAATAGATTTATATGACAGTTTATAAAAATTAATATGCAAAAGTCCATTATTTGCATAAAAGAAAGCCATTCTTTCTTTTATGCAAATAATGAAATAGAAGAAATATTTTTTAAAAAAAGTTCCATTCACAGTTCTGCCTCAGAAAATCATGTACCTTGAAATCAGCTTAATTAAAGAGGTGAAGGATCTGTACAAAGAAAATTATAAAACTAGTTCAAAAATAAAAAAGAGGACATGAAGAAATAGAAACAGATTTGTTGCTCATGGATTGGGAGGATTGGTATCATTAAAATGTCAATACTCCCCAAGGCATCATACAGACTCAATGCAGTCCCTATAAGGGTACTCATTTTTAGAAGGAATAGATCAAACATTTTAAAATTCATATGGAACAATTACCCCAACCCTCCCCTAGCTAACATAGTCCTTGGGGAAAAAAGATGGGAGTCACTTTCTCCAGCTTCAAATTGTACTACAAAGTAGTAGTAACTAAAACAGCTTGATATTGGAATAAGGACAGACTCACACACCAGTAGAATAAAGTTGAGTATCCCGACACAAACTGTCTAATGTATTATCAATTAATCTTTGATAAGGGAG